GATAAAAAATGTAAATTGACAAGATTGATATGTTTTCTGAATTTGGAGGGACCTAGAAAAATTTTAAAAGGAGAGAAGCTTAGTAAAATTGGGTATTGTGACTTATAGGGGGTTTTTGTAGGCTGGACCGATTTCGACAAATGAGGTGTCATTCGAAAGAGCTCGCCGAGCTGAGTCGATCGCGGGGTGAGAGAAGTCGATCCGACAATCAGGGACCGAGATACAGACCCCTGAAGTTTGAAAAAGAGAAGGGGGGAGTAAGCTCATTTTGGGGTGAAAAATTCGAAAATGCAAATAATAGCTCATTCGACTCAGCTCGTCGAGCTGAGTCGAATGACACCAAAATCACCGAAATCCGACTTGATTTGACAAAGTTATGATCGTTCGTTTTAGCTCCTTACCTATGGTCATTGTTGAGGTTTTTGCTACTACGGAGGCCCCTAGTACGTTCAGAGCAAAGGGAGATAGGAATAGGTTTATGTTACTGACCCAGACCCAGCGACCGTTGACTCCCCGCGAGGCGCGTGCCGCGAAACTCCGCGCGAAGCGCGGAGTTTCGCACAAGCGCCTCGCCGACGCTCCATAGGTTTATGTTGACCATTTTGAACTTGTTTATTTTGGCTCAGAATCAAGATATCGAGCTGATTTTGGTGTCATTCGACTCAGCTCGACGAGCTGAGTCGAATGAGCTATTATTTGCATTTTCGAATTTTTCACCCCAAAATGATCTTACTCCCCCCATCTCTTTTTCAAACTTCAGGGGTCTGTATCTCGGTCCTTGATTGTCGGATCGACTTCTCCCACCCCGCGATCGACTCAGCTCGGTGAGCTCTTTCGAATGACACCTCATTTGTCGAAATCGGTCCAGCCAACAAAAACCCCCTATAAGTCACAACATTCATAAAATTAATTTAATTGAGCCATTCTCACTAAAAAATAATAAATATAAAAAGGAAATGGAATATTCTCATATTGAAATTTGTGTAAAATTTGAAAATCCTGGCAATTATTTTTTAATTATTGCGAATCCATTCATTGACGGTTTTATTCAATTCTACGTTAAAATTGAAAAGGAAAATGAGGAAAAATGTGTGTTCAAAATTTTTAAGAAAATGGAAGTTTTGGAGAAAAAAGTGTTGAAAAATTTAAGAAGTTCCCTATCAATTTACGTAACAAAAACAAAAATTGATAATATTGAGGATGGTCAAATGAATATTTATAATGAATGGATGTCAAATAATTGTCAATTAAATAATAACATTGCTTCAATAGAGCCATATCTAAATGAAAGGATTTTTAAATTTTATTTATTGTTAGACAAGGAACGAATAACAAGAGAAGTTGAAAAAATGGATGATTCGAATAATGAAATAATAAATTTCAATAAATAAAAAACTGAATGTAGCAAAAATAAAATTTAAGAAATTCCCTGGTACTATCGCATTATACGCCAACATTTTATTTTGTTCCTCTTTTTTTCCTTTCTACAAAAACGAACACAAGGTGATGCCAGATAATCCGGCAGGAGAGAGAAAATATTAATGAGAAATTCAAAAAATATCGAAAATAACGACCGGACAGAAATTAGTCTGTGCCATATGTTGGGTTACGCCCCGAACGCTCGGGGGCGGTTGTGTAGAGGTACGGGATTTTCAAATTGTTTCGGGGATTTTCGAATTTTTTTTCTTGGCGTATAATAGTGCCAATTCCTTTAAAGCTTTCCATCCGATTGTAAATTTAAGTAATTGCAATGTGTTAAAATCTTTATAATTTTTCTATCATTTCGTAATATTATTTAAAATTTTGTCGACTCTAACGCTTATATATGTGATAAAAATTTTTTGTTCCAGTGTTGAGAAAGTGTTCAATAATCTTAAATTTTTAGAAAAAAAACTAAACAGTAACGTAATGACAAAATCACACTAAAACTAGTCTATTTTTTAGTGTTGGTCAAACGCGATTTTTCGGTATCGGTATTTTCGGTAAAATACCGATACCGAAAAAATACCGATTTTTTAAAAATTGTTCGGTACCGTATTCGGTATCGGTATTTCGGTAAAAATACGGCGGTATTACCGAAAAATACCGCCGTAATACGGTACCGTGACCAACACTACTATTTTTATCAATTTTATATCAAGTTTGAGTAATACATTATATGTATGTTAGCGTATTTTATAATATGTATAAACTCCGTTCCAAAAAACCTCGACACCCCCAATTTTTCGGATAAATCGACTTTCAGTTGTCTAAATTTTTATGAACTTTTTATATATTGATTCAGCGGCTAAAACTACGTTATTTTACAAAAAATTTTTGAAAACCGATAATTTTATCAAAAGTTGTGGTAAATTTTCAAAAAACCAGGCGTTCCAAATATCCTCAAACAGTTTGTAAAAATACCGATAATTACGGAAAGGAGGTAGCTAAAATTTTATAAAAATTTCTATGAACATAACTATCAATAGGTATACAAAATAGAAAAAAACGAAGTCGAAAACTGCTTTTATCATCGAGATCTCAAATCTCGAAAATCAACGGAAAATAGGGTTACAGTAATTTAAAAAATATTTTAACCAATTTAAAGAAAATATTAAAAATTTTCTTTAAGCCTATCTGAAAGCCAATAAAATTTGCTACAAGATACAAAATGACACAATTTTCTAAAAAATTTATCCTTGTCGGCATTAATGCTTAAATAACTAGCATGCCAAAAATAGCCTAAAAATGCACTATTATTGGTAAACGGTTATTCTAGCTTGAGTATTTACCGGATAAATTTTTTTAGAAAATTGTGTCATTTTGTATCTTGTAGCAAATTTTATTGGCTTTCAGATAGGCTTAAAGAAAATTTTTAATATTTTCTTTAAATTGGTTAAAATATTTTTTAAATTACTGTAACCCTATTTTCCGTTGATTTTCGAGATTTGAGATCTCGATGATAAAAGCAGTTTTCGACTTCGTTTTTTTCTATTTTGTATACCTATTGATAGTTATGTTCATAGAAATTTTTATAAAATTTTAGCTACCTCCTTTCCGTAATTATCGGTATTTTTACAAACTGTTTGAGGATATTTGGAACGCCTGGTTTTTTGAAAATTTACCACAACTTTTGATAAAATTATCGGTTTTCAAAAATTTTTTGTAAAATAACGTAGTTTTAGCCGCTGAATCAATATATAAAAAGTTCATAAAAATTTAGACAACTGTAAGTCGATTTATCCGAAAAATTGGGGGTGTCGAGGTTTTTTGGAACGGAGTTTATTTGGCCTGTTTCCATGATGATTAAAATCTCCGATTAATTACACCTTCAGCTACAAATCGGAAAGGTCTAATATCCATCTTAATCCTCCGATATCTTTCGAAAGCATTGATATCCTCTTAATTACTCACTCAAAATAGTCCGATATCCCTCCAAATTAAACTTAACCCTCTGATTTCCTCTTATATCCCTATAAATCCTCTGATATCCCTCCAAAGCACTCACTCAATTTTTAAATACGTTACGGATTACTGAATATTCTTATTGGTATTTATAGGTATCGGTTATTTTCGGTAGTACGATACGTATACGGTACCGCACAAATTTTCAATCTGTAAAAATAGTAAATATTTATCATGATTTGAATATAGAAAATTGCAAAAAAAGATTAATAATACAAAATAACTCAATTCTTTCAAGTTAAAAATATATTTTTAAGTCACTTAAAAATAAATCTGGTTAATTTTGAAATAATTAAAAAGTTGTGTAATTGGTTAAAATACAAGAGACCGGCCAAGTTCGTAAATTAGAAGTTTGATCAAATTATTTTTCGTTACTACCGACTAGGTTGGCGGTTGCTGGGAAACCTCTGAATATCCGGAACGGAACCGATATCAGAACCGAAGATTTCTGATATTTGGAACCGGTATTCGAAAATTCACAGATATCCGGGGTTTTCGTTTCAGGATACCCGGAACCGTTCACCTTACGACTAACTTTCCCTCACCCATCATATACCATCGGCCATGTTTTTGACTACGGGTGAGATAAAAAAAGCGAGCTTAAAACTTTTGGATCATAAAGGAAAGCGGCAGCAGACTAGTGTTCGGCACGGTACGGTATACCGCGGTATTTTTCCCGGTATACCGCGGTATTTTTTTCCGGTATACCGATACCGTACCGGTCAAATTTTGAAAAAAACGGTATTTTTCGGTATCGGTATTTTTTCGGTATACCGATACCGTACCGGTCCTCGAAAAAATACCGCGGTATTTTCCGGTATTTCGGTATTTGTGAAATTCTAAATTTTCGCCTGCGGCGCTGAAAAAGGAAGAAATCTGTCTTCTGGTCTTCCAAAATTCTCAAAATTTTCGCCTGCGGCGCTGAAAAAGGATATATAGGGACATTCTATTAGAGGGGGCATTGTATTTTTCAATTATCCTGTTGGGGCATTCTATTAAAGGAGGATATTCTAATGGTGGGGGCATAGTAATTTTCAATCATCCTACAGTGGACATACTATTAAAGCAGGTATTCTAATGGAGGGGGCATTGTATTTTTCAATTAGCTAAATGTCGAGCAATTGTTGGACATTTTGCTGATTCAAATCTTGCCTATGATCGATTAGAAGAAGCTCAAGTCCTTGAGATTGTTAAGATTTATTGTTAAAATTTTAAAATTAAAATTTAAAAAATTTTATAAAATTTTTTAAAAAATACCGAATACCGGCCGGTATACCGAAAATGTTGAGACGGTATTTTCCGGTATCGGTATTTTTCCGGTATACCGATACCGATACCGTACCGGTCAATTTTTGTAAAAAACGGTATTTTTCCGTATCGGTATTTTTTCGGTATACCGATACCGAATACCGGAAAAGGTCATTTGCCGAACACTACAGCAGACCCATAGGCTTAAATAAAATTTGATCAAAGCTCGGATTCTCACAAATCAAAATTTGAATAGCCTGGTCTCTATCAATTAATATATATCTTCAAATTTATTCCTCCCCTTCAATTTAATTCTGTCTCACAATAATAACATTCCCTTGATTACTTCGAGTACTGCCAAAAACACGTTGATATGTCCCAATATAAGTATAACATTGAGTACAGCGATGTTGGCAATCTTTACAGCTGTCAACACAAAAAGGTATGAGACAACAACAACAAACAAATCTTCAAAGGATTTAATTTTTTAATTTAAAAATATATTTAATTAACCCAAAAATTATAAAGACAAAAACCAAAATCCAAGTAAGCAACCCAGAAACATATTTAACTTCAGTTAGTGTATGTTGTTTACATGTAGGGCAATAAGCCTAATAATATAATATTTTTAATTTAAAAATTTAGTAGACTTTTTGAAAACCCTCTCTAATTTTCTCTATTATTTTGGGTATAGGGTTCTCGGTTTGGAAATGACCCGATGATTTTTTGGTACGGTTCCGGATATACTAAATTTTAAGGTTGTATATCGGTTCATCAGAAAACAAAGGATTTCTGGCTTCTTGGCCTTCTAAAATTTTAAAAATTGTTGTTTGTAGCGTTAAAAGGATGAAGAATTTTTGACTCCTTATACACATGGAAATATCAAAAAATTGTTTCAGTTCCTGATATCAGGAGTTTTCAAGAACCGACAGGTTATATTAGTTTATAAAATAGGGGTATCCAAAATTTGTTTTAAATTTAAAAAATTTTCTTAGAAATTAGGTTTTTCAACATTAAGAAACCCCTCAAATTTTTTAAAACACCAAAGACGTAAATTTAAATAATTATAAGTAAAATCAAGCAAAAATAAATTTTAAAAATTTTTTTACTTGTTGCGGGAACGGCCCAAGAAACTGGTCAACATTAGGATGTGGATGTGAATAAGGAGCATCATCATTCTGTGGAGGAATACCCATTAAAGGTTGTGGAAAAGTTTGGTCATTAAATTCCGGAATTGGTGGATAAACGTTTGCAGAATCGTCTAGGGGAGGTGCTGTTCCTGTTGTTTCGTCATAACTGGGTGGTGGAGGGACTTTCATTTTTATGAAATAATTATTTTTCTTTAAAAATATCTAAAATTATTTAAGGAATACATACATACATAAGTATTTTTAAAGAAAATAAAGATAAATTTTGTTATTCAACAATTAATAAAAATAAAAAGAATTTTTATTTTTTTCTATTTTCCATTTAAAAATCAAAGAACAAAAATATAAATAAAATTTTTAAAAAAATTTTATAAATAATCCATCAATAAAGTTCCAAAAAAACCTTATTTCTACGACTTTATGTATCATTATATTTATGATGATGGACGAGCACGTTGCATTGTCTTGACTCTGAGTTTGATCAAAAATACCAAAAACATGTTTTTTGAACGTTTTACACTGACAAACATGCCAAAGTCACAGAAAAAATATTTGACCAGACCTTAATATTTCTATACACTTTTTTAAAAAATTAGAAAACCTTCATATAAACATTATTCAAGTTAACAAAGTCACCCATTTTTCTTCTCAATTTTTCTAAAACTATCAATTAGTTAGCATCAAAATTCATTAAATTAATTTAACAGAACAATAGATCAATCAACATCAAAATCCAACAAATTCATTCAAAATTATAGCCAAAACTCTATTGAAAATATTATAAAATTTTAATTTAAAATTACTTATAAAAAAGCGCAAATTTGAAGACATGTCCAAAATATTTGTATTAATCAACATATTGCTTTTACATTCTGGACAAGCTTTCTATAATAATTTTAGAAAAATAAAAAAATTTTTAAATTTATTTTGAAATAAAATAGTTAGAATTTTAACTGGGGTAATTTTTTTATTTTATTTTTATAATTTATGACTCATCCGCATAAAAATATTTAATCAATTATAAATTTATTTGGTTAGAATTTGATGAAATGTGTGAACATAAAAATTAAAGTGTAGTCGTATTTGTATTTCCATTGGAATTTTTAATATACAGGGTAGTGATGCTCGGGAGAAGAAAAAACCCGGGAATCGGGAAACGGGAGTCGGGTCGGGAAATGACCTCGGGAGTCGGGATCGGGAGTCGGGAATTAGCAATAAAAAATTTTCCAAAAATTTCAAAAATTTTTGGCGCCTTCGGCGCCAAAAATGTCCAAAAAAATGTCCTGTCCAAAAAAAAAAAAATTAAAAATTTTTGAAGGTAAATTTTGAGAAAATTTTGGGCGAAAATTTTGAGGCGAAAATTTTGAGAATTTTTAGGTCAAGAAGTCAGATTTTTTCATTTTTTGCGCCGCAGCCAAAAATTTTGACTCTCATTGGAGTGAAATAGAAAGGGGTCTTGACCGATCCTTAAGGGTAACTTAAGAGTTTATTTCCCCGATTATTTGGAAAGATAAGCCAACAGCCTGTCCAAAAAACCTTGTAACCGCAAAGATAATCAGTGTTGGGTATTGCTGGAGGCTTTTTCTTTGAGCCAGAGCCCAGCTTTGATTTATATTTGTTGTCATTGACCTTAAGTCCTTAGAATCTCTCCATTGGAGTGAAATAGAGGAAAAGTGAAACAGAGAAAAATATTTTTACGTTCAATTTTGGTGGAATTTTGGTGAACTAGCCACATATCTCTTTATATCCCCTCAATAGTATTAACACCCCCTATGCAACATTAATCATCCATTGATATCTCTCTTTATTACTGCAAATCCCACGTTATCTCTTTAAATTCACCATAATCTTAGTAAATCACCGAAATCTTCTATACTACAACTCCATATATTCTTCAATTTCCAGCGCCGTAGGCGAAAATTTTGAGAATTTTGGAAGATCCTTAAGCCAAAAATCTTCGCTTTTCAGCGCCGCAGGCGAAAATTTTGGGAATTCTAGAAGACCAAGAGGCCAGATTTCTTCATTTTTTCTAAATGAAAATATAATTTTGTCAGAAAAATCCATTCTTAGGGGTGTATAAATTTCCCGACTTAGTCGGGAATTGACACCGGGAGTCGGGATCGGGATCGGGAGGCCAAAAACTCGGGAAATTTTCCCGAGTCGGGAGTCGGGATCGGGATACCCGAGCATCACTAATACAGGGTGACCATTAAAGTTTAGGACACACATTGGTAATATAAGAGTACATATCTCCGCGCCTGGAGAGTGGTACCGTTCGACTCAGCTCGCCGAGACGAATCGAATGGTACGGGTCTTATATCGGAACTAAAACTCCGGTATACTAAACTACAGCCGGAAAAAATGAGGTCTGTACTCTTCAATATTACCCACACATTTTATGCCATAACTTTATTAAACTTTAAGATATCGAGTTCAAATAAATCTTAAATTATAGAGAATTAACAAAAGAACAAATATAATCAAGAATATTTGAATAATCCACCCTTTGCGATAATACAGAGTACAAGATTGAGATATTAGGAATTGAGATTGTGGTTTCTTTCTTATAAATCCTAAACTCTTTTCTAACCGTTATTTTTACATTAATATTTTTTTGAAATATTTAAAAAGTGATAGGAAATGAACATTGATCTAATGATCTATTTTAGTTTGATATTTTAACAAATATTATGTAGACTAAAAAAGACTAAAAAACGATTTCTTTCTTTCTACGTTAGAAGCAAAGGAAAAGCAGCTTTTCTTATTTGCCTAGCACTTGGCCATTATTCTTTTGCCAAAAAGAAAAGAGAAGAAAGAAAAAGAAACTATCGATATGTGAAAATATGGGTAAAGCTTATGTTTGTTTGTTTGGATATTGAGAATTATCGTCATTGGAATATTCATCTTGAAGAATTTTAAAAAGTTTAGGAATTCTTGTCTCGAACTGAATATACATTCGAATCTACATAAATCTAGGTATTAAGCTTAAAAATGAATAAACACGGGTATTAACCAATTCTGAAGTGAATAGATAGGGTTGAAGAACAAGCAAAAAAGCAAGAATAAAATGAAGGACAAGTAGGAGTTGAAAATTCCGAATAATCTTTGAAATTAAAGCTCTGAAAAGGAGCCAACAATCACACATTTGTGATGCTTATTGTTAACAGAGGTGGTTCGGAACATTCAGAGGTGTCGGAAATCGGAAGAGCCGGAAATCGGAACTGGCTCAAAAGTCGAAACTCGGAAATCAAAATTTTTTCGGAAATCGAAGGAAAAAAACGTCGGAAATCGAAATTCCGACCAACCTCTGATGCCTAGATTAAAAGATTTAGGTATCTATCTCTGCTTAAACGATAATAAAACAAGAAATTTTTCCGGACTTACTATTATTTTCTGTAATATTTCGTTCCAAACACTTTGTTGAATTAAGTATTTTTAGAATAACTGATTCGCATTGTCTCCCTCTGTTGTCTTCAAATCTAACAATAATTCTATAGAAATTTTTAAAAAATATTTTAAATTAGTTCAAATTTAAAAATACACGAAAATCCATGCTAAAATACAGAATATACACAAAAATTTTAAAACCATTATTCTAGTGATAATTCGTTGTTTACACGTTTGGCAATGACGCTATAAATTTAATTAAAATTTAATTTAAATTAATTTTAAAATAAATATACAGGCGGATATCGGTTTTACGTCTTAAGAGACCTTGGGGGCTTAGGTAAATAAAACTCTTCCCATCTAGTAGCTAATTAACTTAGGAAATTTTATGTATAATACGGAATGAAGTAAATCTTGATGTACGCATGTTCAGGCAGTACTATTTTAATTCATAAAATATGTACCTTCAATGAATTAATCTCAAGACTGGCCAAGTGCCAAAGATTAAATTTTCGGTAGAAGATTAAATTTTAACGTTTAAGTTAACGTGAGACACTAATCCTAAAAATAATCAAAGGCTTCGAATCTTGCGATTTTTTTTATTCCCATGCATGAGTAATACTATGTAAAGTTTTTGTAAGGATTATTTATCTGGCAGCATTTGGTGTGTTTAAATATTTAGTTAAGAAGATAAAAAAGCAGAAAAATTTCTAAATTACAGCAAAAAATTATCATTAGAATATTTTAGGAAATTAAACAAATTTTTAGGCGGTAATCAAAGAATTTTAAATTATATGATCAAATATTCAGCTTTCTATAATATTAAACACTCCCTTACTTGAGGAATATTTGATTGTTGATTGGTATTCTCTTGAGTGTCAGTATTAGAAACATTTTGATTTAGATGTAGCGTTTCTAATGCCTCAACAGGAGGCGCTTCATGATAACTTGGAGGTGAAGAGAGTAATTCATCATTACCAGAAGATGATAAACTCGTCCTTACTTGGGGAATAGTTGACTGTAGATGGATATTCTCTTGATTGCCGTTAATGTTGTTTTGCTCCATAAGGGATGTTTCTGATGTCTCAACATAACTTGGAGGTGTTGCATGATAACCTGGAGGTAGTAAAATCATCTCTTCATAATCAGAAGATGATACACTCATTTCTTCAAAAAATATTTTTAAATTTAAATTTAAAGCGAATTAATTGAAAAATAAAGATTCGAAAAGAATCAATTAAGAAAATTTTTAAAAATTTAATGTAAAAACTTTATGCTTAGAAACTATAAGTAAAAAAAATTTTTTTTCTGATAAATAAATTGAACATATGTATTAAACTATTAAAAATATTTAATTAAAAATAATCAAAACAAATTTTTAGTAAAGTTTATTAATAATATAGATAAATGACTTGAATAATTAGAGGGATTATTTGGATATAAGCAAAAAAATAAAAAGCAAAAAAGCATTAGAAATTGGAGATTTGTAAATTTATAATTTTTAATTTGTCCATAGTGGAAGCTCTCTGTATCACCATACTTTCTCTCTTATGTCAGCAAATGTTAATCTTAGGTATGTGAACTAACGAGAGCTTCCACTTTTGCGATCAAACTACCGTATTTCCTCTATTAGAATGGCCATTTGAATGGCCCCCTCTAATAAAATGGACCCTTGGAGGATGATTGAAAATTACAATGACACTCTCCATTTGAATGACCCCCTCTAATAAAATTGACCCTTGGAGGATGATTGAAACATAGAATGGCCGACCATTATATTAGAAGAAATACGGTAATTGTTAGATATAATACCACATTTATAATTTTTAAAAAAATTTAAAAGAAAATATTATCATCTGCTGCCCAAATAAAACCATTTAGAACCCAAATATCATTGAAAAATTGTCATTAAACTTGTTTGACTATAACAACATTCGGGGCTCTTGATTTACTCCCCAAACGTGTATAAGTCCCAATATAAGTGTCGCATCGAGTGCAACGATGTTCGGCATCTTTACAGCTGTCAACACAGAAAGGAATACAACAACAACCACAAAAGAGTCTTTAAAAAATAAAAAATAAAATTTTGTTTTAATTAGAAAATCACCCAAAAAGCAAAAACAAAAAGCACAATAACCAAGCAAACGTTCCAGAAACATAATTAACACTAGTTTGAACTTGTTGTCTACATGAATGACAATAAGCCTAAAAATCGAAAGGAAATTTTGTTTAATATCGCCAATAAACTAATTACTCTAGGTAAATATTATTACAGTCTCTTGCTGTAAAGAAGGGATCGAAATTTTTGAAAGCCTGGGTCTGTTTCTGGGTACCGGGTTTGATTTATTAACCTGGACCGGATCGAAGGCCTGTAGTCCAGGAAAAACCCAGGAAGGTCAAAAATGCCTGGGCCGGAACTCTGGGTAAAGTAAAAACTCAGGCCTTGGTCCAGACCCAGCTATCTCTACTGGAAAGTATTATGCATATCATTCGGGAGGATAATTAATCGAGTAAATATGATAATGTGCTCCAGTTCCTTGAAGCACATTCCCCCAAATCTTAAAGCTTATCAGGTTATCAGTTTCGAAAGCTTTAATCGGAAGCCTTAGCTAGTTTTTAATCTACCTGTTGCGGAAAGGGTCCAAGAGCTAAAGTCGATTGAGGGATTGTAACTTGTGCAGTTTCCATTATTTGAGTATTTGGTGGATACACACTTATATTTTCGTGTGTAGTTTCGTGATAATTTGGAGGAGGCACTTTCATTTAATTTTTTTTCTTAAAAATTTTAACAATAAACTTATCAAACCACTAATAAAAATCTTTCAAAATTTGCAAACTTTTTTATAAATTTCAAATAAAATCCCTAACCAAAATTTAAAATCTGAGTCATTTCTAAGAAATGTGTCTCGTTCCTTTTAAAATTTATTTAGTTTTTTAGCCAACTTTCTAGGCCAAAAAATAAATAAAGATGAGTAAAGAGGCCTTTAGAGAATAATCGATTTAAAAAAAGTAAAAAAGGCTGGCAGGAATAAATATTTATTTGTGTTTGTCAGTATTTCTTTTATTTTTTTGACACTCCCTTTAAAAAATATTTTGGGTAAATTTTAAATTTAATTTGATAGGAATTTTTGGTATTGAAATTTTAATTTATTTTTATAAGCGGTTTAAAAATTGATAAAATATATTTGAGACAGATATTAAATTTTGAAGTGGAAATTTATTATATTTGTTAATTATTAACTCAGGTGTTTGCATTATTAATTATTAACCCGGGTTAATAATTAATTATTAAGCCCCCCCCCCCCACTAATCAAAATTTCTGCTTAGATAACAATTAAATTTGGGAGAGAAAAGAGTTATTCGATTACAGATATAACGAACTCAAAAGGACCGAAAAGTTGGCTAAATCGAGAGGCAGTTTAAGGGGAAATATTAGAGTTCGGTAGAAAAAGTGTCTGTATTTTATGAGGCTCGTTACAACAAAGGGTCACGTGTACACCCCAATCTACCGCGACCTAACCTACCGCTGAGGCTATAACTTCGTTCAAAATTGTCGAATGTGAGACAACTTGATATGATTGGATTCAGCTTGTCGAGGAGTATCGAACCATACCAAGTCGTCCCGGATTCGATAATTCTGAGAGAAGTTATAGCCTCGGCGGTAAGTTGAGCTGCTCTCAAGGGTCACATATCTACATAGGTTCAGGTTTTAGACAAAGGAAGTTTTTTATTTTTAAAAAAGTACTTTTACGTTTCTTGTCCTATATATTTTTTAATGTAATTTTAGTTTTAAATTTATTTATTAAATTAAAAAATAAGTTGTTAATTAAACTAGTCACGAGAATTTCGAAAAATAAAAAAATAAAAAAATTTAAAAAATAAATGATGTAATGTGTTTACAAAAAATACTTAAAAAATTCTTTTTTTAAATGTCTGATCACTAAATAATTTATAATCATTTAAGAAAGGATTGATTTTTAAAACAGCGTGTATAAAATTTTGATAGAAAAAATAGATAAAGAGAACACACAAATTGATGATACATTACTTGAAATTTAGAAAAAATTTAAAAAAATAATTTTTTTAAAACCATATTGGATGTTAGATAAGCCTTATTATAAATAAAGATAGTGGATCAGATATCCGAACTTCTCGATTCGGACATCGATTCCGGATCCAGATATATGAAAATTCCCTAGGATCCGCCAAGAAAACCGTTGAAATTTCCTCCCAGTCATTGATAAACCTTTGTTTTGACATTATTGTTTCGTAAAATTCGGCGGAAGACGGAAGCGAAGGATGATACTGACTTATGTACATACTTAAGTCTTGACTTAAGTATGTACACCTCTATTTTCGATACTTGTTTTAAAATTAGTTTTTAAGAGATAAGGAGATGCCAAATAGATTATAACCTCAATCTAATATATCCCTCATTTAGCACCGAATATTAAAGTACGAAATACGACTTTGAATGGCTTGATTTTGGATTTTTATGTCAATTATTTTTTTCCTTCAATATCTATGATGATGAAAAACAGCCTTATTTTATTTCAAATAACATCATAATAATTCAAAAAATTAATTAATTTATCAAAAATAATTTACTTAAATTCCAGCCAAATTTAATTTAAAAAAAAAACAAAAAAACAATTGAAAAATAATTTTGTCTAAAAATAATGATAAATTACCCATTTATTATTTTTTTAATTTTATTAAAATTTGTAATCTTTCCTTTTTAACTAAAAAATTATTTAAAAAATGTCTAACAAATTAATTAAAAAATTAATTATTTTAATTGTTTTATTTTGTTTAAATTTAAAAGTAAATGGAGGTAACCCATCTTTGGAAGAATGTAATAAAGTTATGATGAAAGGGAGTAGAATTTATGGATCTAGAGACTGCAAGTAAAAATAATTTTTGTATTTTTTAGGAAATAATTTTGGACAATATTTTTGGAAGAAAAAAATACTTTAAATAAAGATTAATGTCGGATTTTGCTTAAAATACAACCTTAAGGCTGAAATATCGTGTTTAAAAATAAATACAAATTATCATCTGGGATCTTTTAAAGGCTTAAGCATAATATGATACTATTTTTCTGAAATATCGTGGTTAAAAATAAATTAATTTAAATTATAATCTGGGATCTTTTAAAGGCTTAAGCATAACATTAATAAACTTGGTGTGGAAAACACTCTAGGCACATGCTGACACAAAAATAGTATGGTTGACGAAGAATTTTTTAGATTCAAAAGACCAAAGCCTTATTCCTTCCGTTTTTTGATATTTTGAACTTTCTATCGGAAATCCTTAGTTTTTGGATAAACATATAAAATGCATTAATGTATAAACTGCTTGTAAATGGATTATATTAATGCATTAAGTGCTTCCTTATAAATTTCCTTATAAATCTTTGCATAAATGCCTAGGTTTTTAGAAAATGGACATAACCGATTATAAAACCGGAATTTTTAATATTTTTTGCCCAAAAATTAACCGTTTTTAGAAAATTTTAAAAACCGAAACTGGGTATTTTAAAATTGGATTAAGCGAAAACCGGTGGTATCGGTTAATTACCGGTTGTGTCAAACCCAAATTAAAATGTATAATTAAATAAATAATTATAAATCGCAGTGTATTTTTAAAATAAAAATCTATTTACCGTAAAACTTCTAATAGAAGCACACTTTCCAATAGAAGCACACCCTCTAATATAAGCACACCCTACGAGAGGATCAAGATCGAAAAATTGAAGCACATGTGCTTCAATTAGAAGTTTTACGGTAATTTTATCATATTAAAATACATATTTAATAAAAGATGTTTCAAAGACGTATTTGAATGTATTTTCAAATTATACATAAACTATACATGCGATCATAATTCGGACCCAAATCACAAATATTTTGGAAATAATTCTTGTGAATATACTTATTCTACATGTGCTACTTTTATTAAGGAAAAGAAGAATAAATGTTTAATTGGAATGTGTGATTGTTATATGTAAGTTTTGATTGAAAGAAACTTAAAAACATTCTTCGTCATAAGGGTTTTAATATTACTCTTTCAAAATCATTGATGTCCCCCATAATACTTTGAAACAACTTTAATATCACCAATCCGCTTATATCCCTCCAGGTCATGAAAAATTAATAGACCTAATCTCTGCTAATCGCAAAAATTCCAATATACTCGCCAATATCCATAGCCCTCTTAAATACTTCTAGTTCCTCTTTATCACTCCTTGGGCCCTCAACTATATACAAAGGGGATCAATCGTGCGGGCTCAACTGTAGAGATCGGACCAAACAAATATTTGGTCAAATAAAATCAAATATTTGACCAAATTTTATTTGATTTTATTTGATCAAATATTTGTTTGATGAGTTTTTGAAGAAATTTGATTTTTTCAAATATCAAATAATTTTCAAATTATTTGATCAAATATTTGATTTTGTCTTTTGTCCGATCTCTACTCAACTGTACGGGTCAACTGAATGGGCTAGTGGGACAAGTCTTCATTGGTCAGGAGTATTTCCTTTTTAGCGACGCAGGCGAAAATTTTCTGAAAATTGAAGATCCAATTGGCCAGAATTTTTCCATTTTTGCAATTCTAGGATCCTACCCGAAATTTTCCGGATATCAGGATCCGACAACTTTGTATAGACTAGTTAATAAATATTTTTTAAACTTTTTATTAGACAAATTTCAGGCCTATGATAGACTGTTTTAGCAAAAACCAATGTACGCCGGTATCTAATAAAAGTTTGGCCATGCCTATAAGAAGTTAGATTATTTATTAAATTTATTATTTAGGATTTTTTCCTATTTTTCCAAATTTTATTTCCAAATTTATTTTGTCCTTGATTTCCTAAATCTCTAAAAAATACGCTCATTATTTCAAAACATTTCTTTGAGATTGACATATTTAATTCAGAACTTCGTTCAACGGATAGTGATTTAACTTTTGATGGAGTTGTCAATGGATTGCTTCCGAAAGATATCAAGAATTAAATAAAAAGAAATTTATTTTTTGTAGAGATTAAATTTTAATTTTTTGTAAATAAAAAAACTTTTCTTAAATAAAAATTGATCAACTTTTGTTATTTATTTTCTTTTATGCAAATTTTCTATAAGATGTATATTAGTGCGATATCGTTGGATTTAATGGATAGCTCTAAGCTGGATATGGATGGGTTCTATCTTATCTCCTGAACTTTCCTAATCATCCTGATATTAACGAGGATATTAAGGATACGAATATCCGGATCCGATGCGAAATACGATAAATACTGAAAATAACGTCGGTATTACGGTACAATTCGATAGATTGAACAAAATAAAAAACTCGAATTAAGAAACAAAATTAAAATAAAAACACAAACTCGGAAACAGATACTATTACAATCAAATTGGCTCAGTAACTTCATCTTAAAAAGAAAGAGTTAAACCAAAATGATCTCAAAAGCTTATTCACTTATAAAAGCTAAAATAATTCAATTTATTGCCTTTAAATTAAAAAAAATATTTCCCTTAAGTGACTGCGCGAGAATTAAATTTACTAACGAGGAATTTTAGAGTGCAAGACTCATTCTTATTTTTCTCTTAAAAGTTTAAATCAAAAACTACTTTATAAATAATACTTTAGTTTCAACGGAAAAGAAGAGTTATTAGTCAAAAGAATTTGTAACATAAAAGTAAGCATTTTGATTTTGTGAGATACCGTATTTACTATGATAACAAACCTTGGTAATTATTTT